CAATCCACAAGAGTTTTTAAATTGCTTCACATTGATCTGTGGGGACCATATAATACACCAACACATACAAATCAAAAATACTTCTTAACCATGGTTGATGATTTTAGTAGATCAACATGGACTCAATATCTCAGTTGCAAAAGCAATTCACTAAAAACCATAAAAGCCTTGATTTGCCTAATAGAAAACCAATTCAAAACCACAATAAAATCCATCAGAATTGATAATGGTTTAGAATTCACAAATAAAGAAACCTCTGATTTTCTCCAGAATAAAGGAATCATTCATCAAAGAACCTGTCCTTACACACCACAACAAAATGGTGTTGTAGAAAGAAAACATAAGTATTTTCTTGAAACTGCCAGAGCTTTGTTATACCACTCAAAACTTCCTTTACAATATTGGGGGGAATGTGTCCTTACTGCAACCTACTTGATCGATAGACTTCCTTCCATAATCTTAAACAACAAAACACCTTTTGAAATACAGTATGACAAGCAACCTTCATACTCACACCTCAGGTCATTTGGATGTTTGTGTTTTCCTACCCTCAAAACACATAAAGACAAGTTTGAACCAAGATCAACCCCTCACATCTTCATTGGATATCCTTTCAACACAAAAGGTTACAAGGTTCTGTACTTGGAGTCTAAAAAGATACATATTTCTAGAGATGTCACATTTCATGAGAATATATTTTCTTTTGCTGATGTGTTTCCTGATTCTAAATTCACTTTTGTCTTGAAAAATCTGAGAAATAATTCTACAATGTTGAATATGTTGGATAAGGATATCACCAAGGAATTCACTAACACTGATTATTCTGTTTCTTCACCCTTTGTGCTTGATAATATTGTTGGAGATAACACTCAAACCCTATTGTTTCACCAACAAACATGCACACTGAACCAACCACTACCCAAACTGTTTCTACTCCTACAATACCAACTGAAACACAAAATGAACCAATTCTTAGGAGATCAACTAGGACACACACTGTTCCAAAATATCTAAGTGAATATGCCTACAAATTGCCTTCATCACATTCATGCCTTTCAACCCCTACTCCACACACCAGTCATCATAATTCTAACCATATTTCCCTCACCTCTTTTTGCCTGGATAGTCAGCAACTAATGCAACAAATTTCTCATGACATTGAACCATTTTCTTATGAGGAGGCATCCTTGGATCCTGCATGGCAAGCAGCCATGACATCAGAATTTAAAGCCTTATATGATAATAACACTTGGGATTTAGTATCACTACCTGCAGGAAAGAAACCAATAGGCTGCAGGTGGGTTTACAAGATCAAGCACAGAGCTGATGGTACAGTGGAGAGGTTTATAGCAAGATTAGTTGTCAAAGGTTATACACAACAAACAGGTGTTGATTATAATGAAACTTTCTCACCTGTGGTAAAGATGATCACTGTAAGGACCTTAATTGGTTTGGCTGTCAAGAAGGGTTGGAATTTATTTCAACTAGATGTTAACAATGCCTTTCTTCATGGTGATCTACATGAAGAGGTTTATATGCAACAACCACAAGGCTTTCTAGTTGATGATAGAAGAACGGTATGTAAGTTGAGAAAGTCTCTATATGGATTAAAACAGGACAGCAGACAGTGCTATGAAAAATTAGCCACAACACTTTGCTCAAGAGGATATTCACACTCTGACAGTGACTGTTCTCTCTTCCATAGAAAAGTTGGAATATCTGTAGTTTTTGTAGCTATATATGTTGATGACATTATTTTGACAGGAACAGACTTGGCATAAATTGAGTCTTTAAAGGAACATCTACATGATCAGTTCAAGATAAAAGATTTGGAAAAATTGCATTATTCTCTTGGCCTAGAAATTCTATACAAGGACAATGGTGTTTTAATTTCTCAGAAGAAGTTTGCTACTGATTTAATCAAGGAGTTTGGTTGCTCAAACTATAGCACGACATCATCACCACTTGATCCCTTTGTGAAATTGAGTTCAACTGAAGGAACACTGCTTACTGATCCAACTTATTATAGAAAGTTGGTAGGAAAATTGAATTTTCTTACAAATACAAGAATGGACATCACATATAGTGTTCAACATCACCTAGAGAACCACATCTTAAGGCAACCTTTCATGTATTGAGATACTTGAAGAATGACTTGAGCCAAGGGATTTTCATGACCAAACGTGCAGATTGTACAATTACTGCATATTGTGACTCTGAATGGGCAACATGTTCTGATTCTAGGAAATCTGTAAGTGGATATATAGTGTTTCTAGGGGATAGTCCTATCGGTTGGAAATCAAAGAAACAGACAACAATATCTTTGTCATTAGCGGAAGCAGAATACATAGCAATCACGAAGGTAGTTGGAGAATTGGTTTGGTTTGAAAGATTATTGGGTGAGCTAACTGAATCTTGTAAGTTACCTATCTCAGTTTTCTGTGATACCCAGTATTCCATGAACGCACCAAACACATTGAGGTTGATTGCCATTTCGTGAGAAACAAATTGCAAGAAGGGCTCATTACTCTTCATCATGTCTCCACTTCAAAACAAATGGCTGATATTCTAACCAAAGCTTTGAATGGACCTAGTCATTCTAATATCTTGCGCAAGTTGTCAGTAACTACATCACTGCCAACTTGAGGGGGGGGGTGTTAAGATCAGATATTTAACATTCTGTTACATTCTATTAAATTAGTTAATCCTTCAGTTAGTTAGTTAGTTTGTTATTTTTCAGTTAGTTAGATTCTTATTCTGTTACAACTTAGCTGTATAAATGTACAAAGATCAACTCAATGAAAGCTAGTTTTTCATTCTGCAAAACACAGTTTTCACTTCTGTTCTTCTTCTCCAGAAACTGTTCTTCTTCTCCAGAAATTCAGAGCTCCTCCCATGGAGTTCTTATGAACTACTGATCATTTCTACAAAGACCCACATTGTTATGCATTATAATCTCATTTATCAAATTAGTACTATCAGACCTAATGGAGAAAAAATCACATTAGGAATATTAATGTCTAATAGTAAGAAATAATTACTTATTAAATCAATCAAAGTCTTAGAGAAAGAAAAGTGAAGGGAGGTTTGGAAAAACACGTAAGTGTCTTTGAGTGACGTCTAGGATCATATGTTGATTTTTAGTGATGGTGTAGAGACTAATTGCATATCAAAATTTGATAATTTATAATTACATAAAAATCGAGAATGAGGCATACATTGAAGCGACACAATCTTAATTTTTTAATCATATAGAATAACTCAATGTTATTACTGTGATAATCTTTTTATAGTTCCAACAAATTATCATGATACACGCAACAATAGCCACCCAATCTGATTGAGAATTCACCACAATATTAACTCTTGGAAATATTAATTAGTTATGTCAAGTATTATGTCATCTAGTACTGCAGCAGACTCAACATAGTGATGCAGTTTGAAGAGAGGTCACTTCAAAATTGAAATGAAATGCAAATGTCTAACTCTAGATTTATTTATCACAAAGTTTTATTTCTAAATCATGTTGGTAGTCTCACCTCATGTGGAGACAATAATATAAATATGGAAACAACATCCAGTAACTTCCTCCAACTTTTGCTCTTTTATTTGCACATTCATTTTAGGATGTTTTAACATTGCTCCCATCCCAAAATGAACAGTTTTTTAAGGGGATGCAACCAATATTGTTCACAGAATTTTTTTAAAGTAGTGTTGACAAATGAACAACACATTATAACATCATTATAAGAAAAGAAAATAAAGAAGCAAAATTCAAACTACATGATTGGAACATACTCAAGTACTCCCTCCCTTCCTTTTTACTAGTCCAATGTTCAAAAAAATGTTTTTCCTTTTATTTGTTAACTTTAATAAGTTAACGGATTTTTTTTTTCAATTTTAAACCCTTATTATTCAATTATTTCCAGAAATTTATTGGAATAAGTTATTAGTAATCTATCATATCCAAATTAATAAATACAACTGCGTAAAATAATTACTTCATAAATGGCTTTTCGAGAGGATTACATAATTTATGCTAGACTACTAAAAGGAAAGAGAGAACACATTATCACAACTCGACTATCTTTTATGTATATATATTGCATATTGACACACCTTATCTTTTACGTGATTTCATATCTTAATATTTTGACACCCCTTAGATAAAATTCTAGCTCTACCACTGTATATAGAGTAACTAAAATGTTAGGAAATACTTTTTTCTTTATATACGGCATAGACAACAACTTGAAAACTCAAAATTAATTTTATTGCCTAGAAATAAGATGTAAGAATAAAAAGATCAAAGAACTTAAAACTTAAACAACATATAATATGTCAATATCGAAATAGTGCAAATTGCAGAGAATATAATTTCTTATACCAGACTTTGTACTGTAATCACTGTTTTGTAACTTTTGTACATTATGATTTTCATTTAATTATATTCTCTCTCCAATTGGATCTTGATCAATACGCATTTGTCTTAAGATAAAAGAACATGATATTCATTTCCTGACAAGCGTCGGGTTTCCAACATGCATTTCAAAGAGCATCTTGAATGGCATTATGATGAACTTTTCAAACTTTAAATGTTTCTACTAAGGAATGCAATGATTTGGAGTCGTTTCTAATTATATCAAGCAGAGAAATACTGTCGCAAAAATCGCTTTTAGTGGCATTTAATTTTCGTTTTAGCAGGAATATTTATTGCGCAATAACTTTTAGCGACATTAAATTTTCTATTGCATTCAGTATCGCTAAAACCTTTAGTGACATTTATATAGAGTATCGATAAATATTCATATTATTGCCGCTAAAAGTAATTACTTCTAGCGGCATTTATTTATTGGCAATTATTATTAGCTGGTAAAGCTTCCTTATTGTGGCATTTGTTATTACTAGTAAAAATACAATAATTGCCGCTAAACAAGAAATATTTTAGTGGAAATTATTATGGAAACTAAAGTTGACCATAAATTCACCTCAATCATATATTTAATCAGAAAACCAATTAAAAAATAGTAAGAGAAGAATTACACAACTCAAACAACATCATTCATACAGAACAAGAACAAACAATACAACCAGTTTCTTGTTTTCATAAAGAAAATATGAATTATGAAAACAACAACATGTTCAAGTTATAAAAAAAAACAAAAACAAAAAAAAACAGAGTGTTTCAACAATTGAACTATTATTTCTTTTTCCTAGCGAAACTATGGCAACTTGGATAACAATGATATGCTATCAGGAGGATCTTTAATAGAGACAAATTTATTTGATATTTGTAGCTAGGCAAGTTAGGTGGCACGTCGATTCAGAATAAGCATCATTAGGTTGATTGCATTGTTTGCTGATGCAATATCTTAGAGCCTTATCTGCATCAAATTGCTTACTGGATTAGCTTGCAAGGTAATAATGGCCTGAAAAAGAACTGAATGAAGTGATAAAAATACTATCTATGTTCTTCTGAAAGTATAAGGAAAATAAGTACCTGTAGTAGTCTCACAAAGATGCTTGCCAATTGCTAGATAAGGAACTCCTTGTAAATTCTAAAACACATTCAACTTTAGGTACTAAACTGCAACTGGATAAAACAACTAATTCAAAGTGATGAAGTAGAGAAACCATGAAATATTGTGTAGAACTATGAGAAAGCACAAAGCAAAAAGGAAACATTCCCTTTGGGGATTGACTTACGAATGCTGTTTCATCCAAAAGTACCTTTTATAATTTGTGGCATTGGATACTTAAGAAACTCCTGACCAGAACTTTGAATAAATTCCTACAGCATCCCTGTACTACTTCTCTGCAAAACGGCATCAGGAAGATTGATGCCTCCTCCATAAATTTTTAAAATATCTTCAAAGCTGTTGAACTCATTAAGGTTGATGTTTCCTAAAGACTCGAGCTCGGGGATAACGAGCTGAACGATGACCTTAAGTGCATTTCAATAAAGTCGGTCATCTTTAAGGGTGTAAATTTTTCATCCCTTGACACATAAATGCCAAAGCTCATTACCAGTGGGAGCCGACTCTTAGAATTAGGATCTGCTCAAAATTTGATTAAATCAGACATACTGAAAAATGGTATGCCTTATAGTAAAGATCAGTGTGATGCAGAAATGAGTTACCTGTTTCTGTTGATGTTCTACTGGTTCTTCCTCAACGCGGATAACGATACTTTGTAGATCCTTCTAGGATTGTCCTGACATAAGTAGAACCCTTTTTTTCAGTCACCAATAAGTTTAAACCCCCCAAAAAAAGAGCAACATTCAGATAAGAAGGTAAAAATATAGAAGGTGGTCCAAGGGGGATAATTATCAGAACTGAACAAAATATTCAAACACAAACAATTAACACACAAAGGTATGGCTTGATGAGACTCAAATTTTATAATCAGAGTGCAAGTGAACGGATAAGTCAAGATTGAAGATTTGATACCTTCATATGGTATCCATTATCAAGGACACTTCAACTGATCAAGATATTTTTCGAGTTGCTGGGTTGTTGGTTCTAATTCTACTAATAAGACTGGACAGATCTTAACAGAAAGCGGAAACTTATATATGTGGGCTAGTGACTATTTTATTGAACTTGTCAAAACAAAGAACACATTACACATGGTTGTAATGTGTATGCTTCAAGTTTTCCCAACTATGAACAGAGTAGCATTACTTATTTAAAAAGTTATTCCCAAATCTAATGCAAACTTTTGGAGTTTGATTAGTAGCAAGATGATCTTAAAAGACATACTTTGATCATCTCTCTCAGATTCGCCTTAACTTTGTAGAAATCAGAGTTACGGCACCGGAGGAAATGACCTGATGGATTTCTGAAAGGAGGACAAGGAAATCCTGCTTCTGCGAAGAGCTGCAAACCAAAAACTAGATTTTAATTCTAACTTGCACATGATGAAAAGTTATAAAACCCGGAGACAAATGATGGAGAATCTCGAGTAAGGGAGGTATATCTTGCCTGGTTTGCTTTAGAAACTTTACCAAAGTAAACTGTCCGGAAAGCAAGTATAATCTGTCAAACAGCTCAAATACTTCACAGCTTGGCTGCTGAATTTGAGGCTGTGATAACAATGCTGTGTCTGTGTTACGAAGAACGTTGGGCACTGTAACAAATTCCAAAAATTTAAGGTGTTGTTCATCAATTACTGTGCAATTAACAATGTTAAATAAGTTATCTATTCTTAAGAACATTATGTACCTATCTAGTCCACCTGTTGATTCATCGAGGAAGAGCAATCTAGGCCTCATTAGAATCGCAAGGGCAATACTTAACCTCCTAATACATAGTTGGTTCATAGATATAAGAATCACTAATACATAGTTGGGTCTAATTATAAAGGATTTTACAATGTATAAGTTAAGTTGTGTTTTCCCTAACAACTTAAGTTTTAACATGAGATTATTGCTTGCTAAAAGAAAAGAGAAATGTACCCTTTAAAATTTATCAATTCCACAAAATAATGCTGAATGATTTACAAGAATCAAGCTTCATGTTCTTCTAAAGCAGTTCACCACCTATTTTTCTTTCCACACTTCGATATGCCCCTATCCACCAAGATATGGTTCGTAGTCAAACAAACTTTGATGAAGAAACCAAAATCATGGACGAAGAATATCAATGTTACAATCAGTCTTTTGCAATAAGTATGAATATCAGATTTTGCATAAGTGCACAAAGTCTCAAGTTCAAGGCATAAAACTGTAGAAGTATACTCCATTAATTCACTACCCTGATTTTAGATGCAGAGATCTCGAAAATATTTAGCCTAGTAACTAAAATTTGAATTTTATATGAATGAATAAGGTTTCAGTTAACTACTAAGTTTAGTTGTTTACCTTCAAATAGGAGAACAAAAATCGAACACCGCAATAGCTAGTTTAATTGCTATCTGCAATTCTGCACCAATTTTATTGGACACAAGATCAGGCTGTGTCATATAGAAACACATGCATCAATTCAAATAAAACTCTAGAACATACAAATAAATATATAACCCAACAACTGAATAAAATTCGATATTAGTAGTCACCGAATGCCATTGTCGTACAGTTCAAATTCGATCTGATCGAATATGAGGCAACGGCGATGATAAATTTGCCTATACAATACGAATTGCTGAGGGTAGCTAGTGAAGAGACGTTGGTAACTTTGATACCTCTTTCTTCTCATCAATAACGCACCGATGTGCTGAATTTCACTTCCGTTGTGCTGTACTCCACCACCGTCGATATGTCGAATTTCACCATCGTTGTGCCGGATTACACTGTCAGTGTGACTAACTCCACTGTAGTTGTGCGAATTTCCATCGCCATCGTATTGATTTGCATGTCGTTGTGCTGATTTCGTTTAAGGGTGGAGATGGAGGAAAATTTGAAGTAAAAAGGAATTGGGGGAAGTAAAAAAAATTACAATTGATATTCATTCCATTATTTTATTTTTAATTGCAATAAAGAGTACTCCTTTTACTGGCAAAAATTCAAATGCCGGGAATTGTATAGATTAAATAATGTATTAGTGGCAATTTATTTATTGCCACTAAAGGCATATTTTGTTGTAGTGAAATGTGCAAGGGTTGTTCAATGAACTGTGTTGCTTAATATCTTATTCGATTGTTTCATAGTAGGTTGCCCAAAATCCTCAACCAGTTGTGCGATCACTTTAAAAGATAAAGTTTTCCGTAACAAAATTGCAGGTATTTTGTTTTTGTCTACCTGAAATGTTATCTTTGCCCTTATGACATTCCATAATTTATGGTTGCTTGGATTTTGATGAAACATTTCTATATGTTGTACTTGTTTTTCTGAATTTGTAGCTAGGCTTGTTTCCCTAGATCAACAAGACACACTTTTCATTTCATTATTAGGCTCAATAAATTCTGTGTTATCTAAACCTTGTCGTTAACAACGAGGTATTATTACTGGGAGGTGGTATCTTATAGACATATTCAAGGAAGAGAAAGGTTTTTACTGTTTATTTATCTCAAGTAGGTGGTATCCACTACCTGCATTAAAACCTGACTATTATTAATTCGTGCCAGGTTGGGCCCATTCGAGCGTAGCGCTACGGCGTATCAAGAGTTTCGAGCTGATGGGTGCACGTTTACAAAAAATGTGGATCTAAGATATATATATAATCGGTTCGACATATAGGTTTTTATTACAAAAATCGATTGGCTGAACCCATTGATCATATGTTATATCATCCGGTACTACTACTTTTAATATACACATTTGGTTTAATTATGTAAAAAATTCAATACTAAGAAAATTTAAGAATTTCTAATGCGACAATCTTGAAACTTTTTGAAATATTAAAGCTATATAAGATGCTACCAATAAGCAATTACAGAGGTGTTATCTAATTTTAGAAAGAAAAATAAACAAGATAGATATAAGATTCAAAATTTCAATCATTATTGCATTATATGATACTTCGAGTGTGGAATCTTACATCTATATTTAAATATTTGAAATACATATAACACGAATATATATAATTTTGAGAGGGAAGCATGCGTTTCACGGGAACCTGGTGACCTCATGCGTACGCCCCTGACGCTACTTACTGTAACACTCCGTATCCAAAAAAGACCAAAAATTAGTTTTTCAGAAAAATTTACAAGTATAACCAATGGGGCCATCGACGGACCGCAGACTGATCCACGGTCCGTCCTGCACATCCGTCAATGGGGTCAGAAACCCCCAAAATCTCAGCCCAGGAAAATTTGGGTTAGTCATTGTCGTCAGACTACAGTTCGTAGTCCGTGACCATTGATCGACACCCCATTCACCCACTCTCTGACAAGAGCCACTGATGACCAACACAGTATATAGACGGACCTACAGTCCGTAGGTGAGAAATAGCAGACAGTTAGGGGGAAAATGCAGTTGGGTCAACTTCAAATGATCATAACTCTCAGAACAAAATAAATTAGGTGTCCTATGACCTACCAAAAGGCATATAATTGAATTAACTTTCCATAGCCACCTACCTTGCTGAAATCCAACCCCTGAGTAAAGATTTACGCCCGTTTTAGTAAAGGCCTGTCGAACAGGCCCAACCTACGGACCAAACGATGCACCGTCGATGGAATGACGGACCGTTTGTTCAGGTCGTCGTTTGGTCCAAAACCAACTTATCCAGGAGTCTTTTGGTCTTTTTCCACTTTGTTTAAACCCTATGATACGTCGTTTTAACCCGAAATCACCAGATTGTCAATTAAGCCTAAAAACATAACTAAAACTTATCTAAGTCAAATCATTAATAAAAAAACTTAGAAAATTAGAAGCAAGAAAGGAGAAAAAGGTCAAGAACCCTAGTTCAAGAACGGAGCAAGGTTCCAGCAGTTCCAGCCCTGAATCTGAATATTTCTCCGTGAATTTCATCTTCAAAGTATTTGGGATTTCAGTAGTGGGTTCCTTTCACCCATTGGGTCCCTAGTTTTCAATTAGATTCTTGATTCCCAAATCATGATTATACCTAAGGTTTCTAGAACTTCAACAGAACTTTATGAATTAATTAGTTATATGTTCTAAATCAGATTTCCATGTTATTATTCAGTTTATCGCATGAATTTCAAAACCCTACCTTCGTATTTCTTTAGTTCTTGAATTAAACATGCTAGGTCAGATATTTCAGTTATTCAATTATACATGCCTCAGTTTTTAATCCATCATTATGAGATTAATTTTTGCATTTTCAGTTTGCATGTTCAGTTTTGAGCTATCCAGTTATTACAGAAATTGAGTCATAATAAGTTAACTACATAATTCACGGGAGTAGCATAATATCGAGTTGGACTAGGGTTCAGCGTATCCAATTAGTTCCAGAGCTACTAGCCAAGTAAGTTGTAAGTCCCCTCTGTGGGCAATCAGTTTAGTAATCACGCCATCATGCCTTTATACCTTTGGCAGGGTATATTGGGTCCTCTAGATGCGTATACATCGGACTCCAAATTTAGCTTATGTGGTTTTATTATCAGTTATTAGTAGCTCCCACAGTTTAGTCAGACTCTCTTGCATTGACCATTTATCAGTATACCCAATATCAAGTTTCAGCATGTTATAAATTGGTCATTGAATTAAGTTAGTTCAGAATTTCTATATCATGTTCAGATTATTATACTTTCTTTTGTTCTTGTTTAGTTATGTTTTATTTCAGCTTTATTCTATCCTACATGCTCAGTACCTTTCAAGTACTGACGCATACGTGCGCTACGTCATCTCGTGATGTAGGTTAAGGTTCTCAGCATCCAGATCACGCATATATTGATTTCCAATCTTCAGTTCAGCAGATCCAATGGTGAGTCCTCATTCTCCGAGGATAATAGTTATGATTTTCTTTTCAGTATTCTTTTAGTTTTAGTTTTTGCTAGATTTAGTTGGGGCTTGTCCCAGTATTTCTAGTCCAGTTTAGAGGCTATTTTCAAACATAATTAGTTTCATCTTAGTATTGAGTTAATATTTCCTTTGTATTAAACTCATTGTTTTCAAATATCTCAGTTATAGAATATGAGTATTCCCCATCTTTTGAGTTTAAATTATGATTTAACTTTCACATTCAGTTTATTATCTTTAGTATGCTCATGATCATGCCAGCAGGGTTAGCTTAGGATCACTTGAGGTTTTGTATCCGTGTCTCGGGGGTAGCTCAGGGCGTGACACTTACCAACGATTTTTCCATACATAGGGCTTAGAATTGAGACTTCTAGTTAAGCTAGGAACAATCTCTTCCACTCCACTATATCTGTTTGTGGTAACTCATCGGCTTTTTGAGCATCAACTGTTCAAGATCATTAAATTACCGCTGAAGTCTTTTATTGTGTGTATGGATAATAAGAACAAAAGGATGAATGAAAAAGCCAAATAACATATTGATCATTCGATTAATAAAATTCCACGTATATGAAAGGAAAGCAAAAGTAAAAAGGAATTTTGATTTTTGATCTGACTCTACTCCAATAATTAAATCACTGAGTGAAGATTTTCTGATACGAATTTTTTTTTGCTTCTTCATCTAATATATGACAAGAGAGAAATGAGGAAATGCTGATAATATTCACACAAAATTTCATTTTTTACTTGAGCTTAGTGATCCGGGAGTTTCGTGTGGAAGGTCTCTCACTCAATAATATAAAAGTAATCCGAAGAGGCGAAAGAGAAATTTTGATCCTGCAAGCAACAATGGCTTTTCTTCCAGTAGCAAGGTGCGAAGAAGACTCCGTGTAGCTTCACTTTAGTTCAGTTTCCCCTAGAAATGATGGAATAATCTTTTCTTCTCTTAGCGACTATAAGCTCATAGGGATTTGGAATGAACTTGGTTAGGTGGGACTAAGAAGGGATAGGATTCAAGGTGACTCTTGATGGGAGAATCCACGCTATTCAGGAAGACTCGAAGCAATTCCCCAATCCTTAATTAATGGGACATGGCTGGAAAGTGTTCTAGCCTCTATGATTAGCTCAGGTAGTCCCCATTTCTGTAGTTTTAGTCCCTTTTCAATGGCTCCCTTAATTATGTAGTAACAGATTACTTCGTTCTGCGCTGCCAACGGCCTTACTTGTCTTGTCATAACAAAATACAAATCGTTGCTTAACGCACGACAAATTGACAAAGTAAATGGAGCCTTATGTATCGGTCGTCAAGAAAAAAAGGTTTTCTGTTAGCTACATTTTATCACGACCCAAACCATTGTGATTGGCACCCACACTAATTCTATGGTGGGAATCATTACTACAACCCAAACAAGCAAATAACTAAAAAACGAAGACATTTAATAATACGGAAGTAGGTTTAAATGACTAAATTATTTATTAACCAGTACTCAAAAACATAGAAAGTTTAATAAAAGAAATGAACTAACACGAATGCGAAAATACAACCTCTAAAACCTGAAAGTTAATGTACCAAAACTCTAACTACGACAAGTCTAAGAACAAGGGGCACAACCCTGAAACTTAACAACAACCTTTAACAAGTAGTATGAGTCCAAAGAGAGTTGACTTAAACAAGAGAGATCCTTAGAAGCCTGAAAGAACTGGATCACCCTTGAATCTGGTAACACTTAATAATCACAAATTGAGGTCAATCAATAGCGGATAAAAGATTTCACGTACTCAACAAAAATGAGAGCCAGTCTCAGTAAACAACCACAGTGTACTTGTAGGATCACACGACTATCCCATTAAGTAAAAAATATATATGTAATTACAACAATATAATATATCGAACATATACAATATACAAGATTGAATATCATATGCTTCAATAATTATGTCAAGCAGTTGGTCTTCTGATGGAACAAAATTCAATGGTCCTCTCATGAAACACAAACTGAAACTGTTAGTGCACCAAAAGGTGGTACCGATCCAACATTTATGCCAGAATGTGGCAGCCGATTCCATATATATGCTAGAACGTGGAAATCCGATGCAAAGTTTT